AACTTAGAGCTTAAGAATTATAATTTCAGTGTCTACACTCTCACACTAGGACCACAACAACGCGTCACACGCAAAGGCTATGATTAGAAAGACCAAAATACCCCTGAACCTGCCATTTGTCACACAATGCATACATCTGTTGCTGAGACTGAATAACTTATAATGCAGCCCAAATCAGTGTTGTTCAATATAATGCAACATACTGGACAAATGTAATAAGATATAATTAAACTGTGAAATGACCACATTGCCCCTGAATAACCAGGTAGCCAATTTTCATATACAGAACCTTAATGAACTCGGAAAATAGGCTGCGATTGAAGTAAAATCACAATGTACCATCTTAAATCATTATGAAAGAGTTCCATAAGATAGTAAATGATTAAAATGCCCCAAAGAGATGTTATAAGCCACTGTGCACAACAATGGCAAAGAGAGAACACCTCAACAGCCTTGTAAAGCATAGATTTGACATTTAGAAGGCCAAACAGTATGAATTACAAGGACCAACAATCTCCCCCTTTTGCCTTTAATGTTAAAATCTCTTAAATGAAATAAGAACAAAATAGTGGAGTAATATCACCTTAAATGCAACGATACAGTAGGCAAAAACATATAACATAAGGCCACAAAAACAGTCTTAAGGATAAAAACTATATAACATAAGGCCACAAAAACAGTCTTAAGGATAAAAACTATCCTTATTTCAGTCATTTCTCCCCATTTTTGACAGTGAAGGGCAAAAGGTGAGATTGACCAACAATGTAAGCTCAGTAAGGAGGTGGAACAACCCTGAGAAGGTCTCTAAAGGTTGAAAATATCTGAAGAGGAAGAGGTTTGGTCATGATATCTACAATTTGGTGCTCAGTGGGCAGACAAGTGATATCAGTTAGGCCTTTTTGAACCTTATCTATAAGAAAGTGATACCTGATATCAATGTGTTTGCTTTTCTAATAGAGAGTAGGATTCTTACTGATGGCAATTGCACTCTTGTTATCACAATAAAGCTTGGCAGATCCTGAGAACTGGAGGCTAAGATCTGTAAGTGTTGTTCTTATCCATAGCAATTGTGAACCAGCTTGAGAAACAGCAATCTACTCAGCTTCAGAGGTTGAAAGAGACATAGTATCTTGCTTCTTACCAAGCTAAAAGACAATTTTAGACCCAATAAAGTAATAATAATGTGAAATACTCTTCCTATCAGGTAAGGAGCCACCTCAATCAGTATCTGAATAGGCTGTAATGGGCAATGTAGGGGAATACAAGTAATACAGGTCATATGAGATAGTCCCTTTAATATATCTTAAGATCTTTTTGGCAGCTTGAAGGTGATAAGCCCTTGGATTGCTTTGAAATCTTATAACTAAGCCCACAAAATACAAAATGTTAGGTCTAGAGGCTATGAGATACAACAAACTCCTAATGATGTACCTGTAAAGAGTAGAAGGGATATGTTAGACCAAGAAGGGGGGTTGAATTGGTCTAAGAGTATTCTTTTTTTTTTTCACTTGACTAAAAACATGTTGGACATAGTTGATACCACCAATGAAGTTAACCAAACCATAGGAACACAAGGTATACAAGGAAACCCTCTCAATAGGGAAAAACCTTAGTTTTTGTCCTCAGCTGATAATAAGCTCCACTAGTTGTATGCAAATAGTTACACATTCAGCCGTCTCACTCTCTATATACACCTTGTACTAGTAAAGACACTAGTTTTTATATCCTCTACACACACACACTAGCTCAATATAGTGCACTCATGCACTCCCACTGTCCTAAGCACCCTTGCTTGGACTCAATGAGCTCTCACAGCTCTCTCAACAAAAGAATGAAGGTGTCAACACACCACTTACAACTTTTTTAACCTGTTACACAATATAAGAATGGATGCATAGCTCTAAGTACACAATATAAGAAACCCTAGTTCTTACTTCTCTGCAATCAATAGAATAAACCTGCTAAAACACAATGCAGCTTCACTTGATGATCCAACTAGGTTCCCACTGTCTTATCTTAGCCAAACACTCTTGCTTAAATAGAGTTCTTAATTAGAAAAACAAGGTAATACAGTAATAGCTCACAATAGGCTTAAACCCTAGATACAAAGGTAAAATAAGTAAAGTTAGAAAGACACAAATCTGTTTCTAAAAGTACAAAACTTTCTAAATATTCTACTACGTACAACTCACACTCACTATATTACCTCTTTGATTAGGTTGTTTCCTTGGAGGGGTTGTCCTTCAAACGCCACTATAAAGGTCATAGGTGGCCTTAGTGGCATGGTTGTAGGTTGTTGAATGCTCACAAATGGAACATTCTGTTGAATCTGAGATAGAGGTGGCTGAACTATTGTTGGTGGAGGAGCCTGCACATGCAGTGGAAGTGGTTAAACTATTGCTAGTGGAAGGTTCCGCACTTGAGGTTCTATTAAAGTGGACCCTAAACTGGTGGAGGTTGCTAAGCTTTTGGAAGGGTTTGCACATGTTGTTGGAACCTTTTCCATTATGCAATGTACTCCAAAAACACTCTCGGATATTTTTCTTGAGTTCTCGAAAATATTGCTCACGTTCTTCGACAATAAATAGGATGGGACTCATTGAAATTCTTTTTCCATCCATAATCTCCAATTTCTTTAACTAGTGGTCCCATCGGGCGTGCCAAATTGTTTGTCCACAAAAAAAATTTGTTTGTTCTAGTTGGAAGGTGGAAGGTACAGGAGTTCCAGGATTCACTGAGAATCTAATGGAAATGGAATTGAGCCACACTATATTCCAAATCCGACTGTGAGAGTTCAAGTGATTGTGGAAAGCTTGGAATGACCACTCTGGCAAGGTTTGTTTTTGCCTTGGTAGAAAATGACTTCAAAAATGGAGAGATGGAATGGAAAAGGGTAAAAATACTTGGTGAAAGTGTTGCTGGAGGATTGAAATGAGCTGAACAAAAAGCCGAAAATTCATTAAACTAGGAACTGAAGTACAATTGTTAGAAATTAAAGGAATTGAAATACATATGCGGGAAATTATAAGTGCTTGAAAAGTAAAGATTAACTCTAGAAAAAAAATAAAGTGCATGAATTGAAATGATAAGTAAATGAAAATATGAATTGTTTGATCTGTGTGGAGATGTCTTTAATTCTGTCCAGGTCTTCTATTTATAGTCAGTGGTAGTTCCATCTACAATTGAACGCCCGATTTGTGCCATGTCTTCCATGGACTTCTCATAATGTTGACACATATAAAGACATTATCTCCAATGAATTGCAACATTTGAGGAATGGGTTTGGTGGTCCAATGTCAATTGAAGGCTTCTAGTTACGTTCTAGAACTACAAAGTGGAATGGACCACCATTTCCAATTGCAAGTAACTGCTTCCTTCTTTGCTTGTCACATGTCTCATTCAGCAGACACTTTCCAACTACATATAATTGCCTGCCACTTTGCTTGCCACGTGTCTCCTTCACCAGGCACTTTCCAACTAAGGTAACTGCTTGCCACGTGTTTCATTTAGCAAGCACTTTTTACATACTTTTCTGACTGACACGTTTCCCTATCTAGTTGCTTGCACCAAATGACTTCCTCTGATGAAGCCACTTGTCGTTTCATTTTTGCATTCATATTTGTGTATCACTCTTTCTATTGAAAACGTTAACCCTTCATTAGAATCGGTCACGGCAATCTTCCTTAAAAAGTGGCTAATAATTATGGTGTAACGTGTACAAGAATCTATCCAAATGGGGTTTAGGATTTTAGATCTCAATTATAGGCATGAAAGAGTGAAGTTCTCATTCTGTTATTTTCAACTAAAACTAATCATGATTTGATTCACGGTAAAGAAAGAATAAAATTTTTGTGTGGCACACCATTTTACTTCATCCAGATTCATTCGGATGATAACTTTTTGCACGTGACCATGATTGAGACTAGCGTTTTGCACGTGACCATGATTGGCACCAAGATGTGACTATGAAAGTCTGAGGACCCTGTACATTTTGACTAGGACTCGACATACATCATGTCTAGATGGAGACATTGAGGTAAGCAAATAGAATCTAATTCTAAATCAAATTTAAAACGTGTTTTATGGGTAAATTATACGCAATCCCTTTTAAAATTTACACTGAGCTAAGAAAATATCTATTTTTTCTTTATACAGCAAATTTGAAATGGGTTGGATTTAACTCCAACTTCTCTCTCTCACACACAAGTTTATTCCTTCTCATGATAGGTGGATATATATATATATATATTTTATGGGTAAATATACGCAATCCCTTTTAAAGTTTACACACTGAGCTAAAAAAATATTTATTTTTTCTTTGTACAGCAAATTTGAAATGCGTTTGATTTAACTCCAACTTCTCTCTCTCACGCACAAGTTTATTCCTTCTCATGATATATATATATATATATTTTATTTTTTAAAAATCTATTGTCAAAAGGCTTCTTGCGCAATAGTATGATCTCTCTCCCCTCGGATCAACTTGAGAGTTTTGAGTCCTAATAAGGACCTATTGGGAATAATGGGTGGTTTTAACTTTTAAAAACAAATAAATAATTCAATTGGTATTTGCTTGTGTAGTAAAATCTACGAAACGGCACAACTAAGAAAATCACTGCATTATTTTTTATCGAAGTGTTGGCATTGACTATATAGGAGAACACTAATTAATAACTAATTCAAATTTAATCTAAACAAATTCTCCCCCACTCTCTCTCTCTCTCTCCATTTTTCTCCATCTTATTTATTTTTCTTTTTTCATTTTTATTACAAAATAAAATTTAGTGAAGTAGAAGAATCATCCAACAGATACTGATGAAGGTGACACATACAAAATAAATAAGGAAAAATGGCTCAAAAGCGAATCATCATCCAATGTACATCCCAGTTTCTGGAAGTAGTCTGAGACAATGTAAACTGCAGAAGAGGAACACCTATATTATATTTATTCCAAAATACCAAAGTCATTGAGTGTAAGCATCCTTAATGATACAACAATATTAACTTCGAATTAAACATGATACACATTTCATATCTCCAGTTTCCGAGTATTACGAAAAACAACCAGAGCCAAGTATTTGTTCAGCAAATAGATCAAAGGATTAGTAAGGAAACATATATTGCTACTAATAAGACCAATGGGTTTTTCTCTAGAATTACAAACAGGTTCTTGTAGCTTTTACAAATTTTACACGAGTACAATTTGAGTCCAATACATCTGCAGCCGTGTCACAGGTTCCTTTCGATTATGAATTTTATTCTGTATACATGTGCACACCGTTATTTATAGTAAAGATTTACAACATTATCTACCTCACTTTGTATACCACCTCATCATAGAGGTTTCCGATCAATTATGACATGTATGGTTGCCGATTTCATGCCTCTTTGACTGTGAAAGAATGAACAAGGAGAAGCTAAAGCTATGGTCTTCGTTCAAATGTATTCAAGTACAGCACCTGTGTGATTAAATCCACATGATATTTGCAATGCCTTCACATTCTTGCCAAAGTTAACCATCGTTGGTTCATTGTAGTCGACATCATTTCCCTGACCCTGAAATGGGAAAACAAGTGGAGAATTTAGTTTGAAAACTTGGCAGATAGCATGACAAAGGTATATGAGATTCTAATCTTTGACAGGGTTCCAGGCTGCAGTTGATGTGAACAGAAAAATGGGAGCAAACAAAAACACTTAATGAGCAGATCAATAATCATGTATGGAGTAACCATTGCATAGCAGTGTCATTGATAATTACATCCCAAATGCAAGTACCATTTCTGAGAAAATATTATCACAAGGCAGACAACATCATTATACACAGATCTTTCACTGTCAATATCAGCCTCTAGCTTTGTTTCATTATCATTACATTATTAACATAAGTTGAAAGTGAGCTAAATTAGACTAGAAAATCCTGTGTACTGAAAGGCATTTGGAATTATTATCCGACTAAAAAGGGGAAGGAAAAGGATATTAGGGATGATAACGAGTTCTGGGGCCTTTCATATTTGTTTTAGCATCCAAACTCAAACCTAGGACTCCCTTTGCCCACATTTGGATGGCCATAAACCTTTTCAGTTTTGGCTTTATCACTGGACTGCCAATACTAGTACCGTGCCTTTTTTTGTTGCAGAGTTTGTCAAAAGAGAGTTGGGAATTTTTTTACCCCTTTATTACATATCTCAAGTCTTTTTGGGGGATGAAGTCAAAATCATGCATTCCATTTTCATGTGAAAAAGTTAAATTTCATTCTGTAATTAAATTTCATTCTGTAATCAATTCTAAAGATCTCACTAAAAAAATCCTAGAAGAAATACTGCCTAGATTAACTTGGAAAAGACGGGAGACAAGTACACATAAGCTCAGAAAAGTAGAAAGAAAAGTATTTATTGTGATATACTGGGCATATAATTCTTGAATTAGGTAAAGAGGAATTTGTATTGCTAAGTATTTATAGATTTTTATTAATTGTACAACTACTACACCAATTATTTGAAATTAACTCATGGGTCATACACTTTGAACAAAGTTTACAACTTGAAACAAAGCTATCTGAAAATATGACTACATTTATGCCAACCAGATCTGTAAGCTGATTAGCTGACATAGGACAAGTAACCAGAAAGAAAGAAAGGGATGAGAAATAGAACAATAGATAGACAAGAAGAAGGGGGTGAGAACAGAGTAAATAGATAGGCAGGATAGACTGAATGGGTGGTGTTGAAGCAACGGAAGCATGCGAATAACAAAGATCCAATGAAAGCCACTGAAGCAATCACACACAAACATAAGATATACATGGTTCAGCCAAAACCGGCCTACGTCCATGGATGAGAAGAGATTCCACTATGATTCGTAGAGATATTACAACAATATAGTACCAACACCACGTACATGTCTTTTCACCATGTACCACGCCACGAGCTTATCTCCTCGTTAACAGTGTCACCGGTGTTTTTCCTACTCTACCAACCCGCATATTACCTTTACCTATCAACTGCCTCATGAGACTACATCTCTCTCAATCTCATAAGTCTTAACCCAAAACCTAGGTATCTATTTATAGAGTTCCAAACCCAATTCCTTGTTGGACAAGGAATACAATTCCTTAGAGACCAAGACTTGCCAAATAAGAAATTACCTAACAAAATACAACTCTAAAATAGAATCCTAATTAGAATAGGAATTTGAGACACAATTTTCAACAATCTTCACCTTGGTACAAATTCCATCCAGCCAATCGTCACTTCCACGGCATTGATAATGACAATTCTTTTGCTGCTTTAATCTTGACGATACTCATGCAAAACTCCGATAGTCCACATTATACGTTGCTTGATCAGTCAAACCTCCAAGGCTCCACCTTGACTACATGAGCTCCATGCTATGTAACCAAGCCGATTGACTCCACCTACAACTGAAGCCCATTGCCGCACGTGTTGAGACGACTTGTGTTTTCTGGATCTCTTTCACCTTTGGCTCTTATACCAGTTTATTGGAGCAGCGAAAGCGCGCGAATAACTAAAATCCAATGAAAACCAATAAAGCAATCACACACAAACACAAGATATACACAGTTCAACCAAAACTGGCCTACGTCCATGGATGAGAAGAGATTCCACTATAATTCGTAGAGATATTACAACAATAGAGTACCAACACCACGTACATGTCTTTTCACCATGTACCACTCCACGAGCCTATCTCCTCGATAATAATGTCACCGGTGCTTTTCCTACTCTACCAACCCGCATACTACCTTCACCTGTGAACTCCCTCGTGAGACTATATCTCTCTCAATCTCAAAAGTCTTAACCTAAAACCTAGGTATCTATTTACAGAGTTTCAAACCCAATTCCTTGTTGAACAAGGATTACAATTCCTTAGAGGTCAAGATTTGCCAAACAAGAAATTACCTAACATAATACAACTCTAAAATAGAATCCTAATTAGAATAGGAATTTGAGACACAATTTTCAACAGGTTGGAAAAGCAAGAACATAAATGGGAGAAGGAACATAACACACTGAGAGGACTCAAAGAAAGCAATAATCAATAATCTCCAAAAACTAAATTATTCGTTTACAAAGAAGCATTTATATAGCAAAGCATAAAGAAACCCTAAAATATTAAAATACTAAATTATCCCTAAAAACAGAACATTGCCAAAAATTAAAAAACAATTAAAATAAAACCTAATTACATAATCCCAAATTTCATCTATCCTTATCCATTCTCCAAAAGTAGAGCTTGAACATGTGCGACTCATCATCCATGAAAATCATCATAGCTCGTTCCTCATCAATTCTCCTCGGTTGAGAAGAACTCTTCCCCGAAGAGTAAAGTGGAAAGTAATGCTCAAAATAACTTGGATTAACACATCAAGACTCATCTGTAATCCATGAGACATATGAAGCAGAATAATAAATCCATTGTGACTCACTCTGACCGTCAATAACATCATTAATACAATTCCAAGGCCATAACTGACATAATGGGAGCACAAGTTCTGTTGTTGAAGAAAATGTAATTCCACCTGTAGAAGCACAAGCTAACAACACGAGGCTCAATGGTACCTCAATACGACATCAAATACTCTAAATAAAAAATTGTACAAATACTATTATCTGTTGACAAGTCAAATAAATATGCATTAGGTCCAATTTTATTAATGATGTGAAAATATTGAATGCCTTGGGCTTCAAGTGAATTCAGGGAGCTATAAGGATAAGGTGGTCGTGGTGAACAAATTATACGAAATCACCTTCCAAGAATTTATGATTCCTATGATGAGCATATGCAATAAATTTATAATTTTTATTTGTGATCTTATATCGGCATGAAGCTCATGGACACACTCAACAAAGGAATCATAGATTTTAAATGAACAACGATGTGGAGGTAGCAAAGTAAAGTCAATGGGCTGGCGAAGGAAAATCCAAGATATAATTCCAAAAGAACAACTTCTAGCACACTGATTAACCAAGCTATTATATGCAAACTCCACGAAATGTAACAAAAAGTCTGAAGTGTTAAGGGGCACTCTTCTAAAATAACTAACCAACTTTCCTAGACCTTGGTTAACAATCTCAAGAAATTTTGTGAGGACAAAATGCAAAGGAAAATTTCAAACTAGTGCCCTAAGATGCCCAAAGTGTTTTCCAAAATTGGCTTTTGTATTTAACATCCCTATTTTAAGCAATGGAAGTGTGTGAGTCATGAATGCTAACATCCTCTACACGATTAGCTGAAATGGGAACATATGGAACATCAGATTCAGGTGGTTGAGACTTAAAACATGTTTTCAGATTGAGCACGGAAAACTACTCTTCGAGACACTTGGTTGGAAAATTGATTTATCTTATTGTTACTCGTCTTGACATTACATATGTTGTTGGTGTGGTTAATTGGTATATGCATGCTCCTCGTCGACCTCACTTTGAGGTTGTTTGTTGCATTCTGCGTTATTTGAAGGGTGCACCTGGAAATGGCTGTTGTATAAACCATCTTCCACTTTATTTGTGACAGGGTTTAGTGATGCTGATTGGGCTGGCAGTTGCTCTGATAGGCGATCAACATCTGGTTATTGCACTTTTGTTGGTGGTAATCTTGTTACTTGGCGCAGTAAACTCATTCTAATGCTGAAGCTGAGTATCGTGCTATGGCTCACACCGACTCTGAGATGTTGTGGATCCACTTGCTTCTTTAGGAGATGTGTATTGATGTTCCTACTCCTATGTCAATGTATTGTGGCAATCAGGCCGCTATCTTTATTGCTAGAAATCCTGTTTTTCATGAGCACACCAAGCATATAGAGGTTGTTTGTCATTTTATTCGTGATCATTTGATGCGGAAACAGATTACTACTCCCTATGTTTGCTCTAATGACCAGTTGGGTGATATTCTTACGAGCCGTTAGCTCGCGGTGCTTTTCAGCGATTATATTTCAAGCTGCGCAGGTTTAATCTCTATGCTCCAGCTTGAGGGGGAGTGTTAGAGTTTATTTTGATTATTAAGGACATTATTGTAATTTTGTTTACTTAATATAAATAGGATAGGTGGTGTGTAGAACTGTATACACACACCAGATTCTCTTTTCTTCTTCTGCTTCTCCTTTTCCTTCTCCTGTGTAGAACTGTATACACACACCAGATTCTCTTTTCTTCTTCTGCTTCTCCTTTTCCTTCTCCTCTCTAAACCTAAAACACACGGTTATCCAATTTAACTACTACTTTTGTCATTTCTTTTGCTAATATGAGTTCATCAACACAAAGCTGAGGAGAGGGCCTATATTGTGCCTTGGAGTCCCATTCTAATGGCTTTGCGGGATTTGTGCCATTATACTTGAAGCTATATGTGTTTTCGCTACAACAGTGAGATACACATAAATCATAGATCCATGGGTGACCAAGTAGCACGTGAGCTACATTCATCAGTAAAACATCACACCAAATCATAGCAGAGTAGTAACCCATTTGAATTGGAACTAGGCCCCTCTCAGAGACCAACAAGGAAGTTTCTCCTATATGGAGGGCTATCCTTTCTGATAGAAA